CAAAATATTCCGTAATGCGGGATTGTTTTATTCGCCGAACCATGTCTGTGTGCAACTCTGTATAAGGATTTAATGCCATCGTTTAAAAAATGTAAACAACAAATACAAAAGTTAACCAAAAAGTTGTGTTTGGCATCAGGTAAACACCGCGAAGATCGAATTTTGTTTCCGCGGATACGGAGTGAAGGTATCAACAGAACATTCCGCGAATATAGAATTCGCGTATACTGAATCCGCGAATACGGAGGGCCTGCTGTAGTTGAAATTTGGGAGAACTGGTGCGATAGTGAGTCGACCGAGACAGATCGATGCATTTGTTGCGATCCATGCAGTTATTTGCTATAAGTTAATTAATTTGATTTTATTTAAAGTTTTTCAGTTGCTTTTGAATTGTTTTGTTATATTGTTACGCTTATGTGCAGTTGTAGTAGCTAGTCATAACGATTATTCACCATGGACAGCCGAATAAATTTGTTTATGATTCTAATATTATCATCAGTGCACAGAATACAAGCGCATTGTTTGTATATGTGCGGACCAAGCACACTGAATTTCACATCCGTAATGACCTCGACGATCGGATGCTACGACGTACTGGCAAAAACAGAGTCTACATTCAACTTCTGCAGCACCTTGCCTATAGATCGACGATTTTTTATTTATTTATTTATTAAATGAGAATGAAGACATACCGTACCAATATATTGGCCTATAGATTAAAATTATAGTAAGCAATGCTAAATTGCAATGGAATAAAATATGAAAAAAAAAGAATTAATTAGTAATATGGTCAAAAGGTAATTAAGCCTATGGGAAAGAAAAGTAAAACAAAAAAAATCTTGAAATAACGATGATTATTGATTATAATAATTTTGTTAAGTACGTTCATGGGCTTCACACTACATACATTATTAAGATATTTATTGAAAAAATTAAAAAAAAAATGTATGCATTGAATAATTGCGAAAATATTGAAACCGCAAGATAAACTAGTAATGGCATTAATGATGACTCAAAGCTATACGTAGCACTGGCAATCTTATGGAATTTCAGTTTTTACATTTTGATTGAAATTATGTGTTTCTCGTACACGGAGAGTAAGATGAAAATTATTATGATTTAAAGTATTATTTCATGGCGAGCGCATCAAGCGAATAAGCATAAAAGTTATTGAATGAGCCACGAAAAACGCAATGCCTGATAGCAGCAACGTGTCAATTGAACACAGTATATAGTTGTACGTCGCACGTAGTATAGCGCACACAATATATACATATTATATAGCGCAACACAGCGTACGTAGCTTGTATTGTAACATGAAACGGCTCATCAAAACTATAACTTGGCCACCGAACGTGTGGTATTGCAATCGAATGGCCGAATGTATCTCACATGAACATAAGCCTATGGAAGCGTTTGCCATGAAAAGAAAAAACTATTTTATCATAATAGCTGAAAATGAGTTTATATGCGCCGTGCACAGGAGACAGTACAATAAATTTGAATGAATTTTATTTGAGTAAAATAATTTGCCAGCCTGCGGACGGCAATGAGTAATAAGATAAGATGCATATTATATAGCTGATTCATAATATTATTATTATTGATTTCAATTATTAGTTCAACTAGAATGCACACGCATGTACCAATTCACATACACATTTACCCAAAGAACAAATGCACACGGATGTTAGTAGAGAACCCTAACAGTCCCTGCAGATAAACTTACACGTATACACTTGCCCAAGAAAAGAATTAAAAATTATTTTATGGCAAAAGCTATTGAATAAAATAAATCTCCAAGTAAAAATAATATTATTAGAGAAGAAGATTTAAAAAGAAAAAAAAACCAATAATCATCGTACAATTTATTTATTATTATTAAATTGAAAGAAAAAAAGAAACAAAATTTTTTAAAATAAGAATGTTAATGTTATTATTGTAAGCCTGACCGCTCGCAGGCCAATCTAAGCTGAAGCTTCATTATGCTATAATGATGATTGAATAATATATGATATAATTTTATTTGAAAAAATTATTATTTTGAAATAATATTAATTGTAAGCCTGACCGCTCGCAGGCCAATCTAAGCTTAAGTTTTAAGGAATAGTTATAATAGAAGACAATGAACAAAAGACCTACTGGCATTAATCAAATTTGTAATCGTTTTATATATGAATATTTTATATTATATGAAAATTTTGATGAATAAATAAATATCAAAAGAGGGGCCCATAAAAATATATATCGCGCCGGGGTCGGCGCGTAGTAACGTCGGTCGTGTCACGTGGGACGACAAGGCCCCACCATTGACGCGACACACTACAATGAGAGTCATAAGCATAGCTCAGCAGCGGCTGGTCATAAGCATACTGATCAGCAGCGGCAGTATCAGTACATCAAGCGACGAGGAGATACCTTACGCCACCGGCCCCTCCCCTCTGATATACACTCGGCAACAAAATTATCGCAACAAAAAAATTCATCGAAATTTCGTCGATTTTCAAATGCTTCTATCTTGGGCTAGATTTATCTTATCGACACGCTTTTTTTTAATTTCTTGGAAATTTTGTCCTCTTTAAATCCATATAAATTAAGATAAGATTCGAGTTAATGTTGAGTTACCAGTAGTATTTGAGCGCGACACTAAAAATTGCTGAAAAAAAATGACTGTTTGAACGTGTACCAGTAACACAGTAATTTTTCTATCGAAATCTAACATACACCATCGCAAAGGGCTCTTTTCAACGAGTAATTTAAAAAAAAAAGGACCTCTCTACGATTTTTTTAAAGGCCTGTAGGTTGATTTGAAGGTATGGTTTGTGTACGCAAAAAGCCCAGAAAATTGTCTTGATTTCAGCTAAACGGGGGATTTTACGTACTTTAAATGGTATCTTCAAAACGACCTACACGGCGTTAAAAAAATCGTGGAGAGATCCTTTTTTTTTAAATTACTCGTTGAAAAGAGCACTTTGCGATGGTGTATGTTAGATTTCGATAGAAAAATTACTGTGTTACTGGTACACGTTCAAACAGTCATTTTTTCTCAGCAATTTTTATTGTCGCGCTCAAATATTACTGGTAACTCAACATTAACTTGAATCTTATCTTAATTTATATGGATTTAAAGAGGACAAAATTTTCAAGAAATTAAAAAAAAAGCGTGTCGATACGATAAATCTAGCCTAAGATAGAAGCATTTGAAAATCGACGAAATTTCGATGAATTTTTTTGTTGCGATAATTTTGTTGCCGAGTGTATTTTGAGCCTAATTAGTTATTTTGCCTTTTATTTAACCCCTTCTCACATGACAATACATACAACAATAGGTGGGCCCGAGTCAGCGATGTATACATTTTTAGTGTATACGCCCCTCCAAGGCTCTCTACCACAGAATTTTCTGCTCTGCTGGCCAACGTAGTGGAGGAGGCCCAGGGCAAGAGGCCCCTCATCATAGCAGGCGATTTCTATGCCTGGTCGACGGAGTGGGGCAGCAGTGAGACGAAACCTCGCGGCGCCATTTTTCTCGACGCGCTCTCTGCTCTAGACGTTGTGCTGCTTAACACCGGACGCACGCCGACCTTCACCTGTCCTCAGGGCAGCTTTATCATCGACCTTTTCTTTGCCAGCGACTCGCTTAATCCGAGAGTGGCAGGGTGGCGTGCGGAGAGGGAAGTTTTCACCAACAGCGACCACTGAGCCATCGCCTTCAAGCTGAGCGTGCACAGACCTCTCAGGACCTCAGCGGGCCCGAGACGTGGATGGAGCGCCCGCACGCTGGATGAGGAGACCTTCTCCGAGCGGCTGTCCAGTGTGAGGATCCCGCACACGACGCCTGAGCACCCGGAGGACATGCCCCCCCCCCCCCCCCCCCCCCCCCCCCCCCCNCCCCCCCCTCCCGCCATCTCCGCCATCACCGGAGCCTGCAACGCGTCGATGTCAAGCAGAGGGGGCCGGCACCGTCGCCGTCATGAGCCCGTCTACTGGTCGACGGAGGAGATCGCCACTCTCCGCTGGCAGTGTCTGCGAGCAAGAAGACTCGCTCAAAGAGCGCGGGGACGGGCCATGGAGGACGCTCGTCGCACCGATTTTGCCATCGCGAGAGGCCGACTGCGCGCTGCCATCGAGGACAGCTAGCGTTGCTGCTGGAGTGCCCTCTGCGATGAGGTCGACCGGGACGTATGGGGCCGCCCATACGGAACAGTCATGGCGCGTCTCAGGGGTCCTAGGGCGACACCTCCGCGAGAGCCATCACTGGTGCGACGGACGGTCGCGGCGCTGTTCCCGACGGTGACTAAGGTGCTGATCCGGCTTCATGCGGGACCGGTCGGAGCCGTTGTCCCTGGCGTCACCCTTGAGGAGCTTCGAGGAGCCTGCGGCAGGATTCGAGATGGTGCAGCACCCGGACCAGATGGTGTGCCAAACAGGGCCCTCAAGCTCGCCGTCGCGCAGCGCCCGGATGCCTTCTTGCGGGTGTACTCGGCGTGCCTGAGCGGTGATGTCTTCCCGAGCCCATGGAAGAGGCAAACGCTCGTACTGCTGCCGAAGCCTGGCAAGCCGCCTGATGCTCCTTCATCCTACCGCCCACTGTGTATGCTTGACACAGCGGGCAATATCCTCGAGAGGATCATATGCAAACGCCTGGAGGTGTACACGGAGGACCCGGGCGGCCAATCGGATCACCAGCAAGGATTCCGGAGAGGAAGGTCGACCATCGGCGCCATTGAGTCCGTCACCGCTGCGGCCCGGGAGGTGGTTGGAGGCGCGAGGGACAGCCACAAGTACTGCGCCGATGTTCGGAACGCGTTCAACTCGGTGCGGTGGAACAACATCCTCGCCGCACTCGAGCGAATCCGCACGCCTGAGTACCTGCAGAGGATCATTCACAGTTATTTTCAAGCCAGAGTGTTGGAATATGATACTGATGATGGCCCAGAGTCTGCAGCATCACAGCTGGCGTTCCGCAAGGCTCGGTCCTCGGCCCGATCCTGTGGAACGTAATGTACGACATCATCTTGCGCCTGAGACTGGATGAAGGGGTGCGCGTGGTTAACTTCGCGGATGACATTGCCGTGGTCGCCGTGGCAGGGACGACGTACGAGGTCGAGGATCTTTTCCGCTGCGCCATCGCAAGGGTACGCGACGCGCTGTGGGGGCTGGGCCTCGAGACGGCAGACCATAAGACGGAGGCCATGCTAATATCAAGGACGAGGAGGTTGGAGACCATCACCATTGAGGTTGGCAACTGCTTCATTGCCTCCTCTCCTTGCATCCGCTACCTTGGCCTACAATTGGACGTGAGGTTGACATACAACGACCACCTCAGAGCGGCCAGTGTGAAGGCTTCGAAGGTGGCGGGAGCCCTCTCGCAGATCATGCTAATCATCGGTGGCCCCAGGAGCAGCTCTACGCCAGGGCGGCTCTACGCCAACGTCATCGACTCAATCCTCTTCTACGGCGCCCCCATCTGGAGTCTCGGTTTCCGGAACACAGGTCGGCATGCGTCGGGCGGAAGCGATCAATCGGCGAGCCTGCCTACGCGTCATCAGTGGTCGCCCGCACCTTTCGTATGAGGCTACCTACGTCCTCGCCAGCATACCACCGCTGGCCTTACTAGCAGACGAGCGTAGCCGGCTCTACCAGCGCCGCCACGAGGACGCGAGAGGCGAAGAACGCCAGGAGACGCTGAGAAGATGGCAGAGCCGGTGGGATCGCTCGACAAAGGGATGATGGACGCACAGGCTGATTCCGAACACCAGATTGTGGATAGACAGGAGACACGGAGAGGTGGACTACCACATAACGCAGCTCCTGACAGGACACGGCTATTTCAAACACCCGCTACGATCACAACTCTAGCGCAGATTGCCCAGCCTGCCCCCACACGGTCGAAAACGTGGAGCACGTTTTCTTCAACTGCCCTCGATTTGAGGAGGGAAGAGAGAGGCTCCATCGCCAGCTCCAAGAAGTTGCCAGGCCTGAAAACATAGTCTGAAACGTAGAAAACATAGCTGGCAGACGAAAAAAACTGGTTGGCGGTAGCCACCTTCGCCCACTCAGTCATAGCAAGACTGAGAGCCGAAGAGATGGCCAGAAGAAGATGACCGGGCGATGCAGCATGAAGAAGACGCAACAACAACCGGCGCAAACGTGATGAGCTCGCTGCACCAGCCCGGCCTCTCCCCGCGAAGTAGTGCCCAATGGGGGTTCCGCGGGGGTTAAACAGGGGCAGAAGGAGAAGTCGATGGGCCACACGACATCTATATGTTTTTATATCTTTTTCTTTTCTAACTCCACCCGTCTTACATAAAATATGTAACAACGGAAACTCAAAAATGTACCGAAATACATTTGATTTTAATAAACTGAGCCCATCACTCCATTATAAAAAAAAAAAAAAAAAAAATACATACAACAATAACACGAGCTGTGTTTACGGAGACTTTCAATTTTCGACGTTTTAAAAATGTATACGTTACAAATACATGTTCTTTTCATTCTCCGCTCTTCCGTCGGATTCACCAATGCAGCCAAGACCAAAATCGTATCCGGTCATGCAGTCGTCGGGTAGGGCGCGAACAGCAAGACATGAGCCGCATTGAATGATCTATGATCCAACTTAGCTCTTCAACAATATACAAACAATATGAGCGTCCCTATTACGTGGTAGGCAGTTCCAACTACCACTCTCATAAAGTTAATATTATACTTTTGTTATGACCATCATCCAAGTATCTCATTCTGTTATAAGGACAGGAGAATTACGTAGACCATTACTTGTGATTTACGCAACTTCTAATATAATACTCATTATTTCAGATAAATTGGTTTGCAATGGTAATATCGATTGTGCCAACGGTGAAGATGAACGTACGTGCTCTCATGCAACAGTCGACTGTTCATCATTAAATAAGTTTAAATGCTCAGAAGGATCATGTGTACATTGGAATCATACTTGTGATAAATATCCACATTGCATTGGCTGGGAAGATGAAGATGAACGACTATGTAAAGTTAACGAGTGTTTGGAAAATAATGGAAATTGTATGCAAGAATGCATTGATCTTCCAATAGGATACAAATGTCTTTGTCGTAAAGGATTTGAAATGATTCAAAAAACAAGGTGTATTGGTAAGATTTTCTGCTTGTAACATTTTGAAAGTATTTTTTCAAGTAAAATTAAATGCCGAAAATCGATTTTAAAATTTTTTGAGAATACTTTTCTCTCTTAAAGAACTAATTGTTGAGATTTATTCTCAAAGTCGGCCCCTAAAAAATCAAAAATTGGCGTTTTAAAATGAAAATTATTTTGAATGGCATAACTAGTCGTCGGAGTTGGCGTAAAAAGTCCTAACATTCTATACATTTCAAATTTCACCCAGATTTTTGCTATTCATTTTCTGTACGCTAGAATAACGGTTTTGTGACTTTTACGACAAAAAATCGAGAAAGTCCATTTTTTCGACGATAACGTGTCATACCACGGCCAGACCCGGCCATGGGACAGCGTGTGCTTTCCAAAGGTGGGTCATCCGGGGTCTCGGCTACCTGTAGGAGAGAACGGGAATAGGCACGCGAAATAACAACACGAGTGTTTGAATTTAAATAATAAATCTAACGATTTATTCACACTCACACACACACATTCACACTACAATTTCGTTGTAGTAGTCAGCCGACCCGGCACTCCAACTGCCTCGCAGGACAGCTACGTCGGTGACTACACTAGCTAACACCAAATACTTCCACCAGAAAGGCAATACGGCTTACATGGCTTAGACTTCCTTCTCCTGGATGGCAATAACTATGAGAACACTCCGGGTACGATTACTACCTTAAACTGACCTCTGTCAGTCGAGTGCTCACTGATATTACAACTAAACAATTCACCGCCACGATATTACTTTAACAAAGAAGTACTCGATATTTTACTTATAAAGAGAAACTCGCGTTCACTCGGGTTCAACCGTCTTTTCCAACGACCAAGTAACAAGTGAGTCGTCTGCTGATTTCTTCTCCTCATCCGATCTCTCTCTCCCTGTCGGTCCATAAGGAGTAAGCGAGATATCATCATCTTTCCTCTCTCCTCGTTACACACATAGGCCAAACATGAAACATAACAAGTCATTCGATCAGATACATTATTCCTACAATAATATATCCGAACGACGCATGTTTGCGAATCTACAACGACTCATCTGACGCTACGGCGTCACAAACGAAGTCGTAGGGCAAAACTGACTGCGGCATTCGATTTTGCAAAAAAACCTTCGTTAGATAATGTTTCGTTGATATAATTTTTTCTTTCAGCATAAAGTTTTGAATCTATTTTATGGTTGATTGCTTTTTCTCGTTGTTATGACAGCATTTTAAGACTTTAAGAAGCTATCGACATCTGTTCCCACCACTTTTCAGAGATTTAAAACCCGGCTTTATTTCATATAAACTTGACATTTAGAGGAAAAATAGAACTACTAATTATTTTTCAAATATAGCAAAATGTGAACTTGAAGCTCAAAAAAAAGAATAGAACAGAAGATAACTGGGCTGCTTATTGGTTACATGTCCATCACTGCCCATGGTGGGGCAATACTTCTTGAAAAACCTCACTGTCTCATTAGTCCATCAGTAGAAGCGACGACTTCATCATGTCCAATTGTTAGGTGAATGAATTTCGCAAAAGGTCTTATCGAAGTCGTCGATGGGATGCGTAATGTTACCACGGGGGGTAGTCCATTCGAACCTTGTCGATCCGCGCATCATTGCGAGAGCTGTAGATCATCGGTAAGTAAAACCAGATCGCTGGATTGCATTTCAGGCATCCACTTGAGTCACTTCTGATGCAGCTATATGTGCACTGAGAGACCTTTTAGAGTAGTAGGCTTTGTTGGCAATACTACAGCGCTACTACAGTTGTTGTAAGGCTCAATGGTAAAATTGATAGAATATCAATGCAAAAATGCAGTACTTAACCTGTTTTATTTTGTTGTGGCGCTATGCCCCTACACAAAAGAGCCAAAAATTCAAAAAATATGCAGTACATAATATCGTCGTCTCGCGAAGAGTAAGACATCTCAGATATCTTAAAAAATGGTAAACCTTTAAAAAACGTCTAAAATTATAATTTCTCACAACTTAGTGTTGAAAAATAATTTACATTAAAGGATTTAATTTTATTTTAGATTAAATTTTATTCAAAATAAATTAATTATAACATATAAGGCACAACAATATAATGATTAATAATCTGAATATCTTTACGCTTGACTGATAAAATCTGTGAAAAGTATGGTATTTTTTTACAAGAAATTCTTTTGATCTTAGTATACCGAACAATATAAGCGTGTAAATGGCTATTAACCTATCAAGTCCCAATAGGACGTTTTTTTGACATTCATTTCGATCGCTGTATTTTTGATAAAAAAGGGGTCAAAAAATATGCGAGTAGCCTGTTCTTATGTAAAATTTAATGCCCTTTTAGAATCTGAGCTCAGATTTTCGAAAAAATTATCAGGTCAAAAGTTATGGTTGATTATATCCAAAAAAAAGGTGATTTTGAAAAAAAAAATTATTATTTTTTGATTTTCCAAACGGAAAGCATTTAAAATCTCATGATTTTTGTACAAATATCGTGTCCTCGATGTCTAAACTAAAAGTTAGAGGGGTTCCGATTCGAAAAATTAATGTTTAAACAAACAAAATGGTGGTTGGAACGCAAAAAAATGAAAAAAAAAACTTCTAGAATTTTTAACTCGAAAACGAAGGACTTGAGCGGACAGAGGCAATGTCACCTCATTTTCTCTGTTTACTATTTTCATTGATTTCCATAAAGATCCTTGCGTTACATGAGAGATAAAATTGTCTTCTTTACTCAATTTTTCCATGTTATCAATTATATCTTGAAGCATACCAGGAAGCTCAAGGAATAATTTAAGGCTCTGTCTCAAAGGAACCCAAAAAAATAAAGAGGTTCAAACAAAGCTTTCTCCGACTCATTTTCAAGATTTGAATGTAATTTTGACCTACTACGTGCAAATTTGGTTTTTTATATCCCACTTTTTTTAAAAGTTTGAATCTTTTTTTTTCCGAGCTAACTTTGTCGAAAATTTTATTGTATCTGCTACAAATTGAATAGATATTTACGTAAGTTTTTTGAGAAATATTTGCATCAGTTGCAAGAATAGCTAATGTGTCATTTTTCAGAGAGGGTAAAAAGTAACTATTAATGTAATTACGGAAGTACAGAATTACATAATCCACTACATTTCGTGGTAAACAACAATCTCCATACAACATCAAAATTATAGTCATCAAGTGATTGACTAAAGCCAAGAGATCCATTTTTTCTCAAAAAAGATCTAGGTTCAGAAAGGTTCTTCTAGGTTCAAATCGATTAACTTCTGCTTATATTCTCTGATTTTATTGTTCAATTCACCGTCGCTCTGAGAGTTAAAAAACATTAAAATTAATAGTCTGTAGCATGTAGTTACAATACGTGCGCGCGAGGCAGCGGCGCGAGGGCTGGCGCGAGAGTCAGTCTACCGACAGCAGTCGAGCCGAAGCCCAAGCCACGAGTAGTCAGTAAAAGTGCATCATTCGTCTCATTAATCGTTTACCCTTTATTACCCCGAAGCTTGGATGCTACAATTGGCGACGAGGTGAATCATTTGAAACTTCAAGAAACAATAGAAAAGTATAGGTAAGGGAATTATGCTAAACTGAGGAAAACTGAGTGGTGTCTGGCACCACATAACCTCAAACAGCAAAACCAGAGAGCATGGGTAGTTGAGTAATACCGGGAGATTAACGGATGATGAATGATGATGAAAAAAAAAAGGAAAAAAATGATGAATGATGATGAAAAAAAAAGGAAAAAAAAAATGAACGGTGCCTAGGAAAAAAAACTACAGGCAGTTCGGTAAACGAACGGTGCCTAGAGAAAAAAAAACAGAAAAAAATTAAAATTAATTTTGAACTGTTATGTACAGGAATGGCTCAAATTCCCTCACTGGAAGCGTTTGACTGCAATGGAGATATTGCGTCGGTGGGTTTACGCTGGGAAAAATGGAATGTACCTTATCGCAGCAAACATTGTGGATCCCGAGAGACAAAGAGCAACGTTGCTACATATGGGTGGCCTATCGCTGCAAGAGATTTTCTACAACACACCAGGAGCTGAAGTGACTGGTGCTGAGCTTTACAAAACAGCGCTTGAAAAGCTGGATGAATACTTCACTCCAAAGCAGAGTAAAGTGTATGAGAGACATTTGTTTAGATCTATAAAGCAAGAAGCGGACGAGAAATTTGAAAAATTTGTTGTGAGACTGCGTCACCAAGCAGCTAAGTGTAAGTTCAACAAAATTGAAGATGATCTGATAGATCAAATTGTGGAAAAATGTGCGTCAAATGATTTGAGAAAAAAGATTTCAACAATGGGAGATGACGTGACACTTGAAAAAATTATAGCAGAAGCTAACGCATGGGAAGCTGTTCAGAGGCAGCTCATGAATTATGATCCAAATAAACTGTCACAAAGGGCGGTCTAGGTAAACCGAATTGAAACTAAAGATAAAAGAACAAATTTAAAAGCATGTACTCGTTGTGGAAGTTTAAAGCATCAAAGCGACTATGAAATGTGTGCTGCTAGAGATAAAAAGTATTTGAAGTGTGGATTTTTAGGGCATTTTCGTTCACAATGCCGAACCAAAGCAACAAAAAGGAAATCTGATGTACCATCCTACAATGATAAAAGAAAACAATTTAAAACTAAGGATCAAGAAAGTGTAGACTATATATTCAATATAAATGACGATGATGAAGTCATAATCTGTAACATTGGAGGTGTAAACACCGAAATGATAATTGACTCAGGAAGCAAATGCAATACTTTGAGCGATACAGCGTGGGAAAATCTTAAACAAAACAAAGTTAAATTATTGTGTCAAACAAAAACTCCAGATAGGAAATTCATGGCATATGCAGGCCAGAAAGTACTGACTATACTTGGCTCATATGAAGCAATCATTGAAGTTAACAATGTAACGAGTAAAGTGACATTCTACGTAGCAAAAGATGGACCAAGAAATCTATTGGGTAAGGTGACAGCAAAGAATATGGGAGTACTCCGTGTAGGGTTGAATGCAACTGCCAACGACAGAGTAGCAACACCTGTAAATGAAATCAAGGAATATGATGGAAAAGTCTTCCCAAAAATAAAAGGTGTCAAACTTATTATACCTATCGATTCATCAATAAAGCCTATAAATCAGTCATATTGCAGAATACCCATACCTTTAGAAAAAAAAGTGAATGAAAAAATCAAAGAGTTGAAAGAAGCTGACATAATTGAAGCTTTAGACAAACCATCCGATTGGGTTTCGCCGATGGTACCAGTTCAAAAGAGTAATGGTGAGGTCATAATCTGCATAGACATGAGGCGTGCAAATGAGGCAATCATTCGTGAGAATCATCCGTTACCAACAATGGATCAACTTTTGGCCAAATTTAGTAAAGCGAGTGTTTTTTCAAAACTCGACATAAAAAATGCATTTCATCAAGTTGAATTGAGTGAAGAATGCCGCTATATAACAACGTTCATCACGAGTACAGGCCTGCATCAGTATAAACGCTTAATGTTTGGGATATCCTGCGCACCAGAGTGTTTTCAAAAAATTCTGGAACGAATTCTGTTGCCATGTGAAGGAGTCACGAATTTCATTGACGATATAATCGTTTTTGGTTCAAACTTGGATGAACATAATCTGCGACTCAGGAAATTATTAGTTGTTCTGGAAGAAAACAATATACCTTTGAACAAAGCTAAATGCATTTATGGAGTTACACAGGTGCAGTTTTTAGGACATGAACTGTCATCAAAGGGTATAAAACCAATGGACAAGTACACTACTGCGATAGCCAGTTTTAGATCGCCGTCGACAATCGAAGAGCTTCAAAGTTTTATTGGATTAGCGACATACCTGGGCAAGTGGATACCAAAATTTTCAACACTTACTGATCCGTTGCGTCAACTACTAAAACTAAAATTTGGAAAATCAGCAAGTATAAAACAACACTGGACCACTGACAAGCAGCAGGCTTTTCAGCAGCTGAAAGATGAGTTGACAAATATTCGGACACTTGGATATTACAATCCCGAAGACAAAACTCAAGTCATCGCCGATGCGAGTCCAGTGGGACTCGGAGCTATTCTCATTCAAATTGACAACAACGGGCCGCGTGCTATTGCTTACGGAAGTAAGAGCCTTACAGATTGTGAAAAAAGATACTGTCAGACCGAAAAAGAGGCACTCGCACTGGTGTGGGCGGTCGAACATTTCGATATATACTTACGAGGTAAAGATTCGTTCGACTTGATCAGCGATCATAAGCCACTTGAGGTAATTTTTGGACGGAAATCAAAACCATGCGCAAGAATCGAAAGATGGGTCCTGAGACTGCAATCATATAATTTCAGAATAAAATACAAACCTGGAAAAACCAATATTGCAGATCCGTTGTCTAGGCTGTGTTTGAATGCAAATACAGTACCGTTCGAAATGACTAATTACGTTAATCTTATTGTAGGAAGCTCATGCCCAACAGCTTTATCGCTAGCCGAAATCAAGCAAGCTAGTAAAACCGATAAAGAAATAAATTTAGTCAGAGAAGGTCTATACAACAACCATTGGATTCAGGATGTTAACAGCTACAGGATTTTTGAGTCAGAGCTCTGTTTTGAAGATAAAATTCTACTTCGCGGACACAAAATTGTTATCCCAGAGGCATTGCGATCCAGAGTTTTGGAAGCAGCACATGAAGGGCACCCAGGAATTGTGTCAATGAAAGCTCGACTGCGCACCAAAGTATGGTGGCCTAAAATTGACCGAGACGCCGAAAATTTTGTCAAGTGTTGCAAGGGATGCACTTTAGTATCAGCTCCAAATTTACCACACCCAATGAAGAGACGTTCATTACCAACAAAAGCGTGGACTGAAGTAGCAATCGACTATTTGGGACCATTGCCTAGCAAACACTACCTATTCGTGATTGTCGATTATTTCAGTAGATACAAAGAAATCAAAGTGATGACAAGCATCACAGCCAGCGAAACCATTAAGGTATTGAAAGAGATCTTTTCTAGACTAGGAAAACCTTGGTCTATAACTGCAGATAATGCAAAGCAGCTCAAAGACTGCAGAGAATTTGATGCATTTTGTCTAGAATATGATATACATCTGGAGCACACAATTCCCTACTGGCCACAAATGAATGGCGTGGTAGAAAGGCAGAATCGTGATATACTGAAAAGACTAAAAATTAATCAACTTCAAAAAACTGACTGGAAAGACGACTTGTTTAAATATTTAATGATGTATAATAGTACACCTCACTCTACAACAGGAAAATCGCCGTCAGAGATGTTTTACAACAGGTTATTTCGAGATAAACTACCATCAGCTATGAATATTGAAAATGATCGTGTAATGGTAGATCTAGAAGTACAGGACAAAGATTTTGAAATGAAAATGAAAGGAAAAGAATACGGAGATAAAAAAAGGCGAGCAAAAAAAAATGATCTGAGAATAGGAGAAAAAGTATACGTAAAAAATATGATCAAACAAGATAAGCTCACTAGCGAATTCAATGAAGTACCGCATACTGTAATTCAGGTAAAAGAAGGAGATGTCAGAGTACAAAATGACGAGAAAGGATTGCAGCAAAGAAGGAATGTTGTTCATCTCAAAAAAGTAGAAGGAAAATGGACTGTGTGTGAGAAAGAAAACCAAGAAAATCAAAATTAAAAATAAACAATCATTCAAAAAATCATTACACCTAAATTAAATTAAAATGTTAACATCATGTTTGAGTTGAGTTTCTAAGTTTCATTTATTTAAATTGTAATTGTCATACTATGTTTATCTTAAATTAAAATTTTGTAACAAGGGAGATGTAGCATGTAGTTACAATAAAGACGTGCGCGCGAGGCAGCGGCGCGAGGGCTGGCGCAAGAGTCAGTCTAGCGACAGCAGTCGAGCCGAAGCCCAAGCCACGAGTAGTCAGTAAAAGTGCATCATTCGTCTCATTAATCGTTTACCCTTTATTACCCCGAAGCTTGGATGCTACATAGTCGATAAATTCAAACAGTTGATACTGGAATAAAGGTATCGGAAAATACCTCGACAATGAAAATGAAAGAATTTTGTATATTTTCCTGATCAACAGAAATAGATTTTTCTTTAATAAGAACTTTTCTATTCACATTCAAGCATACACCTAGTAAGAATAAGACAAATGTTGGTGTACAAGATTCTGAAAGAAATACGTAATTTATTAGCTGTCTCTGGCCAATTATTTTGGAAAATCGAGTTATAGTTAATCGATAAATCAAATATTTTGTATTTGTTTAAGCTTTCGATTATTTTGTCAAAGTCGTGAATAAGCTAAAACATATTTGAAATAACTTACGTAGTTATTTAAATAAAACTAATAACAAATGTATAAATTATTAATAAACTAGTTCCTCAGCAACATCTTTTTTTAAGGCATCCAAAACTTTTAATGTAAGTTTGTGACTTGATGACAAACTTATTATTTTTTCTTTGAAGTAGATATTCTAATCTTCTTTTATGAGTTTTCTGCCACTCGTTAACAATATCTATAGTTTTGAATTTTTCTGTGCTTGTCAAGCATTTGTGGAATCCATCCCCAAGACCAGCTAAAAGTTATGCTCATATTTTTTTCTTTATACATAATCCTTGTAAATATAAAATAATGACTTACATAGCTTTGGAATAGATTTTTGAATTTTTATTTTCAATTTTATTGGTGCTAGCAGACCAGAATGCCTCAAAAATCGCCTAATATCTTTGTAAGACCAGTACAATCTTGCACGCTGAGCAATTTTATCGTTGTCACTTGAAGCTTTTTGATAACCAGTATACAATAACTCCTGATCATGCGTTGGAAACAGCTTAACAACTTGTTTAACAATATTGCTTCCTCATACAGAAAGCTTTGTGACGGACCGATTTTCGACTTTCATAACTAATAATCGTAGAGTACTTTTATATATGGGTCAGATTCGGAATTTTTCAAATAAACCTGCGGGCGAGGTTCACGGATTTTCCTGAAATTTTGGTATGTTAAAGTACATGATAAAAAAGTGCCAAAACCAAAATTTTGGACCCCCTTCCCCTCTCCTACCTCCTCCTCCCCTATAGACGTCCATTTTATATCTATATTTTTTCTGAAGGCCTGAAGCTATTAAAAAATCTGAAAAAATTCATGAAGGTACTTTTCAACAATCCAAACAATCTTGAATTTTTTCAGATTTTTCGAGTGCTTCAGGCCTTCAGTAAAAATCATTGAAAATTTAAATTATTTTATTTTTGGTAAAATGGTTTGATGTACCAGACCGGAGTATTTTTTTCTGAATTCTGACATCAAAAAACGATTCCTTGAATTTTTTCAGAATTTTTCATTCATGTCCATTCGGCCTAGAGCTGAAAAACCGCTTTTTTCACGAAAATAATTTTTTTAAGGCGATACGGAGCCTTAAAAAATCTGGAAAAATTTTTTTCTCATTTTGTTCATCAAAATAGATAATCTCAAATTTTTTCAGATTTTTTAATTGAAGGCGATAGTTCTGGAGCCGACGAACGTTATTTTTAACAAAAAAAAGGTTCCTGGAACCCGATGGTTCCGGTAAAAAAATTTGAAAAATTTTTTTTTAAATTCCTTGTCAAATTTTAATAGATTTTGATCGTCGCAAAATTTCGATTGGAGCTTCCTAGCTCATTCTAGAGCATAACAAAGATTCGAGCGAAATTCTGAAGACGTTCATCACAATTACATTATTTTTCAAATTTCTTCTGCTGCTCTTCTTCTGCTGGCATCTCCGCCTGAGTTGGACTTCTTCTTTAGAACTCGCTGTCTAGTGTTATCTTGTGAGTGTGGTTCTCGCTTCTGCCGCCGATGGCAAGTGCCCAATTTGCTCTGTCGGCTACATCTTGCGAGTGTGGTTCTCGATTCCGGTGCTACGCTGTGAGTCTCCGTGAGTTTTTGATACTCCTCCTTTTTGTTGTCGTCTTGTTCTCGCTTCAGGCGCCATCATGCGCTCCAGCAGAGCCTTGGCTCTCGCATCTGGCGCCCTCTTGTGAGTGTGGTTCTCGCTTCCGACTTCATCATGGGAGTGTTGTGCTCAATCTATTGCCAGCCAGGCGAAAAAACGAACCCCGAAAATTCGTCTGGTGGGGATCGAACCCACTCCCTACGGCGAACCTTGTATCAGCAGGCAAGAACTATACCCACTGAGCCAAGGGGGCCGATACATGTCTTTTTTTTTTTTTTTTTTTTTTTTTTTTTTTTTTTTTTTTTTTTTTTTTTTTTTTTTTTTTTTTTTTTTTTTTTTTTTTTTTTTTTTTTTTTTTTTTTTTTTTTTTTTTTTTTTTTTTTTTTTTTTTTTTTTTTTTTTTTTTTTTTTTTTTTTTTTTTTTTTTTTTTTTTTTTTTTTTTTTTTTTTTTTTTTTTTTTTTTTTTTTTTTTTTTTTTTTTTTTTTTTTTTTTTTTTTTTTTTTTTTTTTTTTTTTTTCTACTCCACCCCATTCGGACACTCACCGGTATCCGCCGTTAGGCATTGCTTCGGTGAGGCCGGGGTTGGTTGAGCTTTTCTGCTACTCCTGTTAGTCGTTGTTTTCCATACATCCCCCATCCGTCGCATAGTGATATGCGACGATTAGGGGTTCAGGGACTCATCTTTATCTTCTTGGTGAACCTCCGATCCTGCACGCTGCCATCGTCGATTGTCGTATCCCCTTTTTCAGAGCCGTCTGCGTGGTCACACATTGCTGGCATCTCCTCCTGAGTTGGGCCTCTCTTCTTAGAACTCGCTGTCAAGTGCCATCTTGTGAGTGTGGTTCTCGCTTCTGCAGCCGATGGCAAGTCCGCCGCTTTGCTCTGTCGGCTACATCTTGTGAGTGTGGTTCTCGCTTCCGGCGCTACCCTGTGAGTGCTCCTCCTTTTCTGTTGTCGTCTTGTGAGTGTGGTTCTCGCTTCAGGCGCCATCTGTGCTCCAGCAGAGCCTTGGCTCTCACATCCGGCGCCCTCTTGTGAGTGTGGTTCTCGCTTCCGACTTCATCATGGGAGTGGTGTGCTCCATCTATTGCCAGCCTTGCGAGTCCTCGCCTCGGGCTCCTACTTATGGTTTTCCTATCGCTTCCAGCTCGCAAAGTGATCGGGGTTTTTTACCGCTTCGGAGGCTGATGACATAGCCCGGGTCTTCTTTTTGAGTGGTACCCGCTCCACCTCAGGCACAGGCTCGACCACACCAGGCGAAAAAACGAACCTCGAAAATTCGTCTGGTGGGGATCGAACCCACGCCCTACGGCGTACCTTGTATCAGCAGGCAAGAACTATACCCACTGAGCCAAGGAGGCCGATTAATGCGATAGTGTGTGTGTGTGTGTGTGTGTGTGTTGGGATGTGCGCAGTGATATCTCGATGACGGTAGTTCGTATCCTTACTGTAGATGTCTCATTTTATTCGTTTTGTTGTAAGGAAGAAGACAAAATATCATTTTTAGTCCTGCGTTGAGTATTTAAAAAGTTATGAGGGATTTTCGAGAAAAAAAAATTTTTTTTTATGTTTTTTTTAGTTTTGTCATATTTGTTTTAAAACAAACTGGTTTTTTAAAATAAAAGTAATAATTTTTTTGAGGAAGAGCTTTTAACATTTGATTTAAGATAAAAAGCGTAAAGATTTACCGTAAGTTTAAAAAGTTACGTTTTAAAAATGAAATTTGGTGTTTATAATTTTTTCTTTTTTCTTAGTTCTATGTTGTTTCGTGTTCAAAATTTATGATGTTTTAAAACAGTGTTCATAGATGGATTAAGGATGAAGCCAGAAAGTTTGATTTAGTGATAAACGAAAAAAAATTTTTTTTCGATTTTATAAATTTTTTTTTTCGGGAAATTTTTTTTTCTTTTTCATATCGTTTGGTTCAGAAATAATTTATGATTAAAACTGTTTTGTGAAGAAGTTAGAAAAGGTAATATTAATATTTCCAATAGCCCGCGAAAAACAAAAGTCCTAAAGTACGTGTAATTAGTGTCCGAGGCGAAGCCCAGGCCGATAAACACGTGCTCTGGGGCTTTCTTTTTTCGTGACATCGGCCTGTATACTATTATTCATACACAGTGGCCCGAAAATCGCTCTTTCCGCTTTGAGCAGCGGCAGAGAAGTAGTGACTTTCGGGCCGCTGGTATGAAAATTATTTTTTTTTCGGGAACTACTTTAATTGTTACGTCATCGTGAAAAAAATTCGATAAAAATTAAATATCAAAGAATAGAAGAACGTTGGCAATTAATTCCACAAACAAAAATAATTTATGATTGAAACTGTTTTGTGAACAAATTAGAAATGATTATATTAATATTTCCAAATTAATTTCAAGTTAAAAAAAAAGTATGAGGAAGCTACTTGCCAATACATTGGCAGCGGTTTTTTTGAACTTATCTGAGGTTATTCTGCAAAAATAATTAATTATTTATGTAAATCTGAATTACGTTTTACAATGTAAAGATTGAACAAAAATACAAAATGTAAAGATTTTAAATTCTATTGTTGAGTTGAACATAACTCTCCGTGTTATAAATTACACGACCTTTCATTTTTTCTGGTCGCGAAGTCGAGTTTGCATTTATTTATAAATTTAGTTTATTAGAAGTAAAATAATATTTCTTGTTTTTTTTATTGATTTTTACTTAACAATTTGAGTCACTGGTTCGTCGGCCACCAAGAGGA